TAGATCGACCAAGCTTCACAGAAAAAAAAACACATTTTGATTTTTTTTCGAACTCCGTCCTATTGCACTCGACCTGCACTATCGAAGACCCCACAAGTGTATACCATCATATCTTCGAGGTTTTTCTCTCAAACGAGATTAAACGTCGTTCATTCGTTCTCCATGGTGACCTACTTCACGAGAAACATTTGCCGTTTGGATCGATATCGAAACGGGTGTCGAAACGAAATCGCTCCTGTCGATTCGATATCGAATCAACACTTCGGTGTGGCCGTGCATCTTGTTGGTAGGGATAAACAGGCAACAAAGCGTAACCAAATTGTGGTCACACTGAACGTGTTAAATCGTCACGCTACCGGCGAAAAAATTATTGTTGCCATCTTTCTGAAAGTGAACATTTCCCTCCTTGCAGTGGGCCACTGCCAGCCCGACGTGGTGGCGGCCGCCTCCCGCCAGCTCGCCGTGCTCAACACCAACAACCGCTTCCTGCACGACAACCTGGTGCTGTGCGCGCAGCGCATCACGGACCTGATGCCGGAGCCGCTGTCCGTCTGCTTCTTCGTCAACTCGGGGTCCGAGGCCAACGACCTGGCGCTGCGGCTGGCGCGCACGCACACCAAGCACCGCGACGTCATCACCCTGGACGAGTACGTCGTCGTCGTCGTCGCGGAGGTGCAGCGGCGCGCCGCGAGCAGGAGGACCGAAAGGTCGCCGTCGTGAGTCTCTAACATGCACTGTTGCCCGCAGCGCCTACCACGGCCACCTGTCCTCCCTCATCGAGATCTCGCCGTACAAGTTTAAAAACATCCAGAACCACAAGCAGGCCGACTGGGTGCACGTGGTATGTCATTTTTTTAAGAAAGTGTTCAAATTTCAAACATATATTTAAAAAAAAAAAATGAACACAATTCCCATGCCGTTTGACTTGCAATCACACCCCAGTTACGCTTTTGGCGCTTGCTCATAGGCGCCGGTGCCGGACGTGTATCGCGGCAAGTACCGCGAGTGCGACCACCCGGGCGAGGACATGGGCGCGCTGTACGCCGAGGACGTGCGGCGGCTGTGCGAGAAGTCGACGGCGGGGGGCGGCGGCGTGGCGTGCTACATCGCCGAGAGCCTGCAGAGCTGCGGCGGCCAGATCATCCCCCCGCCCAACTACCTGCGCGAGGTGTTCAGGTGCGGCGTCGTCCATCTGAGCCCTGCTGACCCCCACCTGAGCTGAGATGCTGAGCTGGACAACAAAAATAAAAAAATGTGCTTGCAGACACGTGCGCGAGGCGGGCGGCGTGTGCATCTGCGACGAGGTGCAGGTGGGCTTCGGCCGGGTGGGCAGCCACTGGTGGGCCTTCCAGCTGCAGGGCGACGACATCGTGCCGGACATCGTGACCATGGGCAAGCCGATGGGCAACGGCTACCCGGTGGCGGCCGTGGTCACCACCAGGGCGGTGGCCGACAGCTTCCGCGCCGCGGGCGTCGAGTACTTCAACACGGTAAATACAGGCCAAACGTACCGGTCTAGAGTAGGATTTAAATTTTCCGATCGGTGAGAATTTTTTTTAAATGTCGTAAAATACTTCATATTTTTTTTGTGTGTAAGCATTTCGAATTTTTTAAGGAAAATGTTTTTGATTTTAAAATCACCCTTCCCCCTTCGTCCTCCCTCCACAGTACGGCGGCAACCCGGTGTCGTGCGCGGTGGCCAACGCCGTGCTGCAGGTCATCGAGGACCAGAACCTGCTGCAGCACGCCAAGGAGGTGGGCGACTACCTGCTCGCGCGGTGCCGCGAGCTCCAGGCGCGCCACTCGCTCATCGGCGACGTCCGCGGCGTCGGCCTGTTCGTCGGCATCGAGCTCGTCACGGACCGCGTCACCAAGCAGCCCGCCACCGCCGAGGCACAGCACGTCCTCTCCAGGTTCGGATTTATGAAAAACAAAAAACAAAACAAAACAAAAAAAACATTCCCCGGAAGGATTTGAACCTCCGACCATTACTGAAGGACTTCACACAAAAAAAAAAAAAAAAAAAAAAAAAAAAAAAAACACGAAAAAAAGCGCTGTGTGCATCCTGCACCGACCTTTATCGGCGGGAAGCCCCTCGCCATATGATTGGTCCTTGTTGGCGGCATGACGCAGGTCCTGCAATAACTCCCACCAGTAGTGCGACTCTCAGCCGACAGACATATCGCAAAGTTTGCGCTAGCGTGATAGTGCACACCACACGAGTCCCCGGTGGCGCAGTTGGTTAGCGCGTTACGCATTCTTAACTAATGGTCGGAGGTTCGAATCCTCCCCGGGGATGTGTTTTTTTTTGTGCCCCCCCCCCTCTTTTTTTCGCGTTGTGGCCTTTAACAGGAGCTTCTTGCGCTGGATAAACGACGAAAGCCTACTGCTGAGCTCGAACATGAACAAAAAAAAAAAATCTAAATAAATTGAAATCCACCGGGAAGGATTCGAATCTCAGAATGATTCTCGCCGGTGACTCCGGGTCTAGGCTGCCCGTTCCGTAGAATGATGTGCCAGAGTCCTGCTTTCGTTGTCACGAGTCCCCGGTGGCGCAGTTGGTTAGCGCGTTACCCTTTCTTAACTAATGGTCGGAGGTTCGAATCCTTCCCGGGGAAGTTCATTTTTATTTTATTTATTTTTTATTTATTTTTTTTTGGGGGGGGGGGGGGTTCTGGCTTGAGCATGAATATCTAAGGTCGCCGAAGGAAAACAAAACCCTGATCAACGATTAACCCGGGACAAGCCTAACAAAAACACTAAAAACGCTAAAAAAAACTAAAACAAAAGTATTCCCCGGGAAGGATTCGAACCTCCGTTCACTCTTGGCGTCCCGCACCGACGTGTATCGGCGGAAAGCCCCAACGTTTGGTCGTCGTTTGCGTGGTGACTCAGGGCCCCTCCGACTCCGACCGGCCCCGGCGCACGCTCCCCAACTGCATCCAGTGACTCATTGATCGCGGCCTTCCGCATGTCCCAAAGTGACCGAAAGCGTCCAGCGACGGTTGTCACGAGTCCCCGGTGGCGCAGTTGGTCAGCGCGTTATCCAGTTCTTAAATAATGGTCGGAGGTTCGAATCCTTCCCGGGGAAGTCTTTTTTTTTTTTTTCGCTTCCCTGCCTTAGCAAGAGATTCTCGCTCAGGATAAACGACGAAAGCCCCCTGCCCAGTTCGGCCAGAGGGAGCAAAAAAAAAGAAGACTAAAATAAAATGAAATCTACTGGGAAAGATTCGAACCGCCGACCGTTACTTGAGGATCAAAATAATTGTTTTCAAAAACTTGAGCCACCGGGCATCTTGTTCGCTCGTGCGTCCCGAACCGCCCTTACGGGCGAGGAGCCCCACACCATGACTCAGGTCCTCCAACTTCAACCGCAGTATGATTCTCGCCTGCGACTCCGTATCGCGTGGGTCTAGGCCGCCCGTCCTTTAGAGTCATGTGCCAGAGTCCTGCAACAGTTATCACGAGTCCCCGGTGGCGCAGTTGGTTAGCGCGTTACTCTTTCTTAACTAATGGTCGGAGGTTCGAATCCTTCCCGGGGAAGTTCTTTTTTTTGGGGGGGGGGGGATTCTGGCTTGAGCATGATCATCTAAGGTCGCCGGGAAGGAAAACAAAACCTTGATCAACGATCAACCCGGGACAAGCCTAACAAAAACACTAAAAAAACTAAAACAAAAGTATTCCCCGGGAAGGATTCGAACCTCCGACCGTTATTTTCAGAGCTGTATAACGCGCTGACCACTGCGCCACCGGGGAGCTCGTTCACTCTCGGCGTCCCGCACCGACGTGTATCGGTGGGAAGCCCCAACGTTTGGTACATGTTTACGTTGTTTTCTGACGTTGCGTGGTGACTCAGGCCCCTCCGGCCGGCCCCCGCTTCAACTCCTGTGACTCATTGATCGTGCCCTCCCGCCCGTCCCAAAGTGACCGCCAGCGTCTCGCCACAGACCGCGCGAGTCCCCGGTGGCGCAGTTGGCTAGCGCGTTATCCAGTTCTGAAATAACGGTCGGAGGTTCGAATCCTTCCCGGGGAATCCATTTTTTTTTTATCTCGGCGGGCCGTACGGCAAATTTCGCTCGCTGATTCCCATCCCTTCTCTTTTTTCAGGATGAAGGATGAGAGCATCCTGCTGAGCTCGGACGGTCCGGACAGGAACATCCTCAAGCTGAAGCCGCCCATGGTGTTCAGCAAGCAGAACGCCGACACCTTCATGGCCGTGCTCGACCAGGTGCTGGAGGAGCTGGACGACGGCGACCTCCCGGACCCCGTCCCGGAGCAGCCCGTCAGCCAGACCAACGGCAAGACCAACGGCGTCAACGTAAGTTGCAGCGGCAAAAAATAAAATAAAACTAATACCAGGATATTGGCGCCGGACCCTCGCTGCCGCTGCCAAGTGCCCACACAAGCTCTAATGTCGTATCGATGTGCATTCCCAGGGCCACCGGAGGAAGTCCGCCGCCGAGGCCTGAGGCCCCGCCCGCCCTCCCATCGCTGGTGGGCGCCTGCGGGTGCCTGCGCGGGGCTGCAGCAGTGGCAGCTCCCCCGTCACCACAGAGGCGCTACCCCGTACCTGTGAAAACGACCAGGGGTTTTCATCCTCTGGAAAAGTATTTTCAGAAATCTTTCAGGGTTTTTAAAAATCTTTTAATAATTTTCTTCTGTAAAAAGTTCTATTTTTTCAATTTTCATTGTAAATATTTCAATTTTTCCGATTTTTTTGTGTAAAAGTTTCCAACTTTTTTCGAAAAATGTTTCGGACTTTAAAATCCCTAACGAAGACCCGCAAAGTATCGCGAACCGATGTGGTTGCGGCTCAAGATTCCTCTGGACGTTATTGATAAAACCTGTGACAACTTAAAAGGGAGAGAGGACTGTCGTACCAGCACCAGCAGCGTCCAACGCGACCAACTCGGTTCTACCCCCCAATTTCTCCCGGTTCAGAGTACAGTAGTTTCCAGGCTGGAATCATTTTAATGTATCGATCAACAAGTTACCTGACTAATTTCTCTATGTCCTTCGCTAAAAGCGACTTTACTCTTATTCTATATACATATTAAAGACTACGTAGATAGAGTATGATAATTTATTTATGCATATTCTCGTGTGGGCAGGCACTGCTACGGCAGCAGCTCGCTCTCATGGCGCCTGATGGATAGGCAACATCTTGGCTGCAGTGCACGCGTGTCCCGCGGGGTGGCCTACCTTGAGTCTCGCAGGCGCCGAGCTCCCATGAAAATGTGGAATATGTGCCGAACGAATCCGAAATGAAACGGGCGTACTTTCGGGACGATCCTGACAAACCTGCTCGTTTAGTGCTCACGCTTTACCACAAACAAATTATACATTGTATTTATACTGCAAATATGATGGAAGACCTGGCGAAAGGGCGGCGTTTTGAGTCCGGCGTGATGGCAGCGCGGGGGGGGGGTTCTGGCTTGAGCATGAATATCTAAGGTCGCCGAAGGAAAACAAAACCCTGATCAACGATTAACCCGGGACAAGCCTAACAAAAACACTAAAAACGCTAAAAAAAAAGTATTCCCCGGGAAGGATTCGAACCTCCGACCGTTATTTTCAGAGCTGTATAACGCGCTGACCACTGCGCCACCGGGGAGCTCGTTCACTCTCGGCGTCCCGCACCGACGTGTATCGGTGGGAAGCCCCAACGTTTGGTACATGTTTACGTTGTTTTCTGACGTTGCGTGGTGACTCAGGCCCCTCCGGCCGGCCCCCGCTTCAACTCCTGTGACTCATTGATCGTGCCCTCCCGCCCGTCCCAAAGTGACCGCCAGCGTCTCGCCACAGACCGCGCGAGTCCCCGGTGGCGCAGTTGGCTAGCGCGTTATCCAGCTCTGAAATAACGGTCGGAGGTTCGAATCCTTCCCGGGGAATCCATTTTTTCTTATCTCTGCGGGCCGTACGGCAAATTTCGCTCGCTGATTCCCATCCCTTCTCTTTTTTCAGGATGAAGGATGAGAGCATCCTGCTGAGCTCGGACGGTCCGGACAGGAACATCCTCAAGCTGAAGCCGCCCATGGTGTTCAGCAAGCAGAACGCCGACACCTTCATGGCCGTGCTCGACCAGGTGCTGGAGGAGCTGGACGACGGCGACCTCCCGGACCCCGTCCCGGAGCAGCCCGTCAGCCAGACCAACGGCAAGACCAACGGCGTCAACGTAAGTTGCAGCGGCAAAAAATAAAATAAAACTAATACCAGGATATTGGCGCCGGACCCTCGCTGCCGCTGCCAAGTGCCCACACAAGCTCTAATGTCGTATCGATGTGCATTCCCAGGGCCACCGGAGGAAGTCCGCCGCCGAGGCCTGAGGCCCCGCCCGCCCTCCCATCGCTGGTGGGCGCCTGCGGGTGCCTGCGCGGGGCTGCAGCAGTGGCAGCTCCCCCGTCACCACAGAGGCGCTACCCCGTACCTGTGAAAACGACCAGGGGTTTTCATCCTCTGGAAAAGTATTTTCAGAAATCTTTCAGGGTTTTTAAAAATCTTTTAATAATTTTCTTCTGTAAAAAGTTCTATTTTTTCAATTTTCATTGTAAATATTTCAATTTTTCCGATTTTTTTGTGTAAAAGTTTCCAACTTTTTTCGAAAAATGTTTCGGACTTTAAAATCCCTAACGAAGACCCGCAAAGTATCGCGAACCGATGTGGTTGCGGCTCAAGATTCCTCTGGACGTTATTGATAAAACCTGTGACAACTTAAAAGGGAGAGAGGACTGTCGTACCAGCACCAGCAGCGTCCAACGCGACCAACTCGGTTCTACCCCCCAATTTCTCCCGGTTCAGAGTACAGTAGTTTCCAGGCTGGAATCATTTTAATGTATCGATCAACAAGTTACCTGACTAATTTCTCTATGTCCTTCGCTAAAAGCGACTTTACTCTTATTCTATATACATATTAAAGACTACGTAGATAGAGTATGATAATTTATTTATGCATATTCTCGTGTGGGCAGGCACTGCTACGGCAGCAGCTCGCTCTCATGGCGCCTGATGGATAGGCAACATCTTGGCTGCAGTGCACGCGTGTCCCGCGGGGTGGCCTACCTTGAGTCTCGCAGGCGCCGAGCTCCCATGAAAATGTGGAATATGTGCCGAACGAATCCGAAATGAAACGGGCGTACTTTCGGGACGATCCTGACAAACCTGCTCGTTTAGTGCTCACGCTTTACCACAAACAAATTATACATTGTATTTATACTGCAAATATGATGGAAGACCTGGCGAAAGGGCGGCGTTTTGAGTCCGGCGTGATGGCAGCGCCGGGCGAGCAGGCAGCCCAGCGCGCGCGGCCGTGGCCTCGCCTGCCCGCCCGCTCGGCGCCACCTCCACACAGGCCGGCGGCGTCAGTACAGCCTCGCCTGTTGCGCAGGGTGAGTCACTCGGCCGTGACTCACTCGGTCTGCGTCCCGAGCCTTGCTGTCTTGTGGGGCCTCCTGGCGCGCACCGTGCACCACAGTCCCCGGTGGCGCAGTTGGCAGCGCGTTATCCAGATCGAAAATAATGGTCGGAGGTTCGAATCCTCCCCGGGGAATTCAATTTTTTTGCTTTTTTTGGGCCGAGTCCCGCAGAGGTTGCACTGGAAACCCAAGTGTGTGAATGTCGCACTCTTTAGGTGCGTGGACGATATTAGTCCGCACAGGCGCAAGAGTGTAAATTTCAACGAAAAATTCCGAGGGGACAATAATAACTCTCTTATGACGTGTACTCATGATTTCCAGAGTTATTGCCCCCTCGGTAAATTCACTCTCTTGCTCGTTTGAGTTTACGAATATGGATATCCCCGACACTGGCAAAATGTGCCACTTTCACGCACTTGCATATGTCCAGTTTGTTGAGCTTCCCGGGTCAGCGTCAGCCACACCGCGTCAGCCACTTGCGATGCGACTGGTAAAAAAAGGTGCTAAGTCGTGCGTATCCTGGGGCAACTATACACATATTTTCAGTTTAGTGCCTCACAAAAGCCACTAAACAGGGCACTAAATTGGAGAAAATGCGCTAAAACTTAGTGCCTTTGGCAGTTTTAGTGCATTGTAAAGGTTTGTTTTTCCAGTGTTTCCCTTCCGCCTGCCTCCGCGACCTTGGAGATGGGCCCGCCGCCCGCCCGGCTCCTGGAATTAGCGTAGATAAAGGCGCACGGTGATAATGATAACAATATGATTACAAAAATCGCAATCTTTTCAGCCGATGGATGCCGGCATCAGTAGCCTGGAGCGGCACTGGAAACGCAACGTGCGTGAACTACAGGTGTGTGCGTCGTGTTATTTGTGTTTGTAATGCCCATACGTATACGTACACTTCAGGGAATAAATGTACAGATTTTCCTTTTAAAATTCACACTTTCTGCCTGTGTATGCGAATGTCGTTTACACACCTACACGTGTGCTATATTCACACACTTTATGGGTAGAACTGTCTTATTGCATTTTCGGACAACGCTCCGCAGGTTATTTACTTCTTCTTTTTTTTACGACATTATATATAGTGTGGTTAATTGCAGGATGCGCGCCCAAGAGAGGGGTTTCTGTGCGCGGGGCTGGGGGGG